ACAGCGAAACGTTCGTACGGCGATGTCAGTCAGGATTGATCAGAGACTGTAGGAGGTGCAGATACTTGGTGAAATGCTCAATTTTATTCTATTGTTAACGCCGACCAGCTTCAGCGTCAATTGACTGTCAATCATGCCTCGACTCTGCGTCAGAGCTGTTTTCCCAGGCGTCTACCACCCAGGCCCAGCCTCGTCAGAATCCTGATCCCGCTCGTCAACGACATTCTTGTACTGCTTGACCGGGATATGTGCAGCAGCCCGAGCACACTTTCTTCCTGGAGGACAGACCTTGTGGCGGATCTCGTGCCTCTCTGCATCGAAGCAGTCCTCGGTCACTACTGCAGAGCAACCTGGCAGCAACGTTTTGGTGGCCATATGACAGTAGTGGTGTTCTTTTTGGGAATACCAATCTGGTCCCATCGATGTCTCGGAGCTGCAAAGATGCTCGGCAGTTTGTTCGCCTTTCACGAGTGTGTCACGAAGGATCCGGTCCCATGTCGCTGCGGCTTCTTCATCATCGGAGTCTGGTGCAGGTGTTAGTCCGGTTTCTAGAAAATCTGTTGCTAGTTTCATACCTGCGTCAAAATCATCCCAGCCTGATATGCCTTCTTCGTCGGAATCGCCTGAACAATCGTCAATCAGATGCTCACATGTGGCTCCGAACACTCTCATACCTTCATCAGTCTCATTCCTCTTCCAGATATCTCTGTGGAGAGGATCAGACATCTCCCATGGCTGGTCAAGGAAAGTGTCCTCAAAGTCCGTCTCGTTCTCCTGCTTTGGCAGCGGCCTGTTCTTGAAAATGGGAATCTGGAAGTGTCCCGACATGTTATCGTAGTACCCCTGCAAACGAGCAGTATGGTCACAAGCGAGCCAGGACTTCTCGTTTCTTTGAGCAATCACGGCATCGTTGACCACCGTGCCCGCGAAATCAGGAAGGCGGAGAGAGATGCCTTTGGGTGGAACACGGTTGTCGCCATTAGTGCCCTCGATTGGCCGCTTCTTGCTTTCCGGTCCCATCCACATGCACAACGGGGCGTGGTCGGTTCCAGGCAGTTTGCTGAAGCTCTGATACCACGGCGCTCCGCACATAGCAAAGACGTCGCCAAGAATGAGGTCCGGCTTGTCGGTGTCTGCGTAAGTGATTGCCAGCCCTGCTAGACAAATGGCGTCCTTGCGTTGGGCGACGACAGCCAAGTATTCTGGCCTGACATTCGTGCCGTGGGTATGGACTATCATGTCACGGAACCCCCCGGCTTCGATGTGATGGCCGTGCTTGTGGTCGCGGCCAAGGTACTTCCCATTCGGGTCCCAACCAGCCACCGACGGGATGTTTCCACCCAAGTGTTTGTTGTGAGCAGCCAAGCCGAAGCCTGGGTAGACTCGTATCCCGAATGTATGCGGGGGCCTGTGGCCTTGGATGCCGAACGCACTGGAAGATATGAACACCGGGGCCAGAGCGAGACTGATTGCGCCGACGACTGCACCGAAGATTGCAAGAGACATGGCGAGTGAGTGGTTGGACTAAGTGTGAGGCTTGTATGACAGAAGATGGGAGTATCGAATGAGGCTGCTGTGAGTATGAGTAGAAAGTGGTCTCAGAATTGTGCAACTCGAATTGAAGAATGGAGATACCGAGATGTGACGAAGAACTTGTAGAGTGCAGACCGACCTTGAAGGACATTATATACCTGTGAACAAGGATATCGATATTGCTATGTGCTCAGCATCATGATCCGCATCTCGCACTACGCCTTGTAATTCTGCGACATGAACTTACTCAACGATCTAGCTGCGATCTGGTCTTTAGACTATCGATGGTTGTTCTGTGTTCCCCTCGAGGTATGGCTAGTCGCTCGACGAGAGTGGCTTCTGGCCTGTTGGTGTTTTGAACGTTGATATTGCGCAATCCTCGTGAGCCAACCACAATCAGAGGCATACCATTGATAGACCCGAACGATTCAACCATAGCTGAAACATAAATCGCCGGTAGCTGCGGGGGTTAACGTACCATCCTGCTTGAGGTGAAGTGATCCGTCGCTTCAAAACACTTCTCGAAGACTAGAAGCCCTATGCAGACTAGTTGGTGATAACTTTCTGGCCGATGAGGATCGAATCAGGCTAGTAAATCATGCTCATGTGCTCGTTACTGAAAAGCGTGGAACGGATGAATCATTGGAATGTGTACAGCCAGCCAGTGAGGCCGATCTGGAAGTCTTCGGATCGCACATAAGTTCAGGACATGAAGCTGATGACTGCGGACAGTACTGAGTAAGATCTTATTCGCGAAACCGTACTTGTCGATGGTCGCGATGTTCTTTGCAGAGGATCATGGCTCTGGGCAATTGAAGCGCACGACCTATCTCAACGAGGCGGCGCGAATCCTTAGCATTGCCAATCATCCCTACCAAGTCCTGTTCTGTTTTTCCTGAGCATGTATACTGCCTAGAGGGGTGTATGAAAGAGCACATGTTCTATACGGTCGGTGTCGACGGTCACGCGCTGCTGTTGACACGTGATACCGCGATCTAGGCTAAGATTATCTTTCCGATCGTACCGAACGTGCTCGTGTCTCAGGATGATCCCATGCCAGCCACGAGATTTGATCATGTTGTTTCGGTTGCTGCACGACCAAGGAGGAATGTGTTCATCTCGAAGATGACTTCATCTCCTAAGATGTTCTTTGCTATGTAGGATGCAAAACACAAATGCCATAGTATCACGAGTACTTCTTTCCTGATGTTCGTCATTGCTGCCCTCTCCTGACCCACGTTCCGCAGGATCAGACTATTGAAATCTTAACTCCTGAGGATCGACACTGTAACTCTATTAGAAGACCACCACCGCCAGTCTTGTCTCTGCTGTGAACTCAAATATCACAGCGGTGTATATTACTGCGACTTGAGCACAATATGTCCTCACACTGTCCCGAATGTGGGCATACCTTCCACTCCTCCGATGCGAACGAAGCACAAACGAGGATAACCGACCTCGAAACACAAGTCCGATTGCTGAACTCGAAAGCGTCATCGTACCTCGACAGACTAGCAGATTACGAGGATGAGGTTCAATCACTCAGAGCACAATGCGCAAAACTGCAGAAAGAGAGAGAGGGAAGCATTTCCGTTGCACCTTTGCAGCCCTTACCTGTGACAAGAGAGGATGTGCCGGAGAAGGACAACTTTGCGCAGAAGCAAATGAACAGACAGTCGTTGTCGAGGTTGTCGTCTCTTACATCCTATCTACCAGGCAGGAAGAAGGATGATACGCCGCCAGTGCCGCCATTGAATACTGGTCTGAATCAGTCTGCGCCGAACATCTCGACTCCTACCACCGAATACATGAAAGCACATTCTCCTCCCCCATTTGCGACGGATCCAGGTCGGCAAGGGCAGTCATTGACCTTGATTGGTCTGCAGACAAGTCTTGAGACGGAGAGGAATCTACGACAGCAAGCGGAGACCAGTCTGGCACAGTCACAGACCGAGCTGGAGGAGCTGACCGCGCAATTGTTCGGTCAGGCAAACGAGATGGTCGCAACAGAACGGAAGGCACGGGCGAAGCTGGAAGAGCGGGTCAAGCTGCTGGAGACGAGGGATGGTGACAAGAGGAAGAGATTAGATCGGCTTGAAACGGCTGTGCAGCGGATAGAAAGAGTGCGGCGAATGGTGGTAGAGCATGAGAATGCCATGGGTGAGGATGCTTATGTCGCTGTTGAGGTTCCGAGGAGTACTCAAAAGGTGGGGAGAACTGCTGCTCGGTGATGTCTTAGTGATGAAGATTGACATTTTTCTTTTTTGTTTTCCTAGATTATGAGTATGAGACACATGCGACGTACACGTTCACGGTCGAGACGAGGAATGGCGAGACGGCCGGAGGTGGTCAGTGAGGATGAGAATGAGGACAGGGTATTTGGGCAAGATGATGGTTCGGAGGAAGGGTACGAGTTTGATGTGCAGCTGAAGGTGTGGAGGAGGAGTAGAGCGAATATGTGGAGGTCGCCGAGTTTTGATTGAGCTGCCGATAGGATGTGCTATGAGAAGCAATAGTATCGTGTCGCAACATTGTGTTGACTGCTGCGAACTTTTTGGCTATATGTGCAACGCGGTTTGACCGTGCTCGTTCTTATCGATGGCAGAATACTTTCGTAGTTGCGCTTGCCATTCATGCCGGCGCTCTTCACATTAACGTTAGCCGCGCCTTCCTGAATGTTTGCTGCAAACACACCACCTCCCACGTTTCCGACCATGCAGGCAACTCTGAAATTCACACCTTTTTGGCCTCGACTGTCTGTCAGCACCATCATCGGTCCGTGTCCCACTCGTCTTTGGCCTTCTAATGACAACCCTCACCTGCCACCAGTCTCGAGAACTTTTAGCCTGACGCAGCTCGACAAACTTGTTCAACGACCCATCCTACCACGACAACGAGATACCACGCCGCCACTCGACTGCCGCAAATCGGATTCACGGCAAGCTTGATATCAGTAGTCTCAGAAGGGCCTACTAAGCAAGAGCACGACCACAAACGCGTGAAGCGGCATTCGAGCACGGGCTGCGAGGAGTCACCCGATGGTACGGTCGACGACCATGAAGACCGGCATCTTTGTGCTCTTCAGAAGCTTCCATTTCTCGACCCTCATCACATTATGACCAAGCAGGCCTCGAAGCATATCTGCCGTGTACTCCATTCCGTACTAGCATGTTCATCAACCAAGTTGCGTACCGGGGAAGATGCGCAGGTCGTCCGGCGTTCCTGCGGCTTTCGCAGCTACCAGCACTGTGCCTCGTCAAGATGAAGAACATCAGGCGTACACAACAGAAGCTCGCTTGAGCTATGGTCAGGACAACTCGCCTCAGCACCAGCGCCGCTTGTTCTCCTCAGCTTACCGAGTCCGCTTTCGTCCCCGCGCTCAGTAAAACTCTGGTCATGCACACCACCTGTTTCGCACAACAAAAAGGAGATTGAGGCCAGATGTTGCGAATGAGCAAAAATGAAGTTGAACCCCACCCGATTTGAACTAATTGTCGTTAGCTATGAGAACTGGATACTTGGGCATTCTACCACATACCGGATAACCTTTCGATAGCCCTGAGACTGGAGTCGAACGCGCTACCGTTGCGCCAGAGGTCCGAATTTCGCCCTGAGACGTCGTTACGGAATGTCAACCCGTTTTTCGAGCTGTCTTGTGGCAAAATTGTGCTTACAACGTACTTGTCCCAAGCCTCGCAGCCAAGGATAGCCGCGCCGGAGCTCGCCGACGGATGATCTCTCAGTCACTGAACAACGCCTGCTGATGCCTGGGTCTTACATAGTCATCACTACGCCGCGGGATACAGGGCATCCCTAGGGTAAGTATCACTGGTGAGAGGACAGTGAGGTCGTTCAAAAACGGTAATCATGGTGTTCGAAGCCACCGCCGGGAACAATGTGATTCTTCATGGTCGGCTTGATCAATTCTTCCGGGGTAAGCTTGACCATCTTTGTGCACGTCCCGATTTGGAGGCTCCTGAGATGAGTTGCTTGCAAAACCAAAAAACTGTAGACACTGCCCCCACGAGAATTCACATGCATACTCAGGATGTTGTACGACACCTACACTCGCGAACAATCATGCTTTGAGACACAACAATATGAGAAGCATCTATCGGTCGCTGATGAGCCAGCTAGGATACATCACTATCAGTCTTCAGTAAGTTCAGAATACTCATCTATACACCCATCCGGTCCCGTGCTGTACCATCGAATCGCTAGCCATATTACAAGGTCCCTTGCGGCCATCGACAGGAGCAGTTTGCACCGGTAACCCTACCCTCTACACCGCTACCCGATTGAAAGCTATCCAAGTCCCAGCTCTTGCAGCATCATCCACATCAATTCTGGTAACGTCATGGCCATCTTTGTCAGGAACATACCAATGAGGGTGGCTTGGTTGTCATCTCAACCGTCCTTTCCCTTGAGCATGTTCTGCACCTCCCTCGACACCACCTCCATATCGTTCCTCCTGAAGCTATACGTGATAGTCTGCTAAGACGTTAGCAATGCCGGGCAAATTGAAGGCCAACAACTCACCTTGCAGACATCGAACTTCTGTCTCTTGTCGACCCATCGGACCATCGTCTCCGCCACGACACCGTAATCATCCTGGAACACTGCCGCCAGACAAGCCGCTAGCTGTGGCAGAAAAAGGTGGCGTACAAGGCTCAGGTTGCTGTCATCGGTTGTTGTTGACACTGCCCACTCTGGGAGCACTGCATCATATGGCGTGTGCTCGGACCCATTCAGCTGTACGCGGATATATCGTAGTTGAGGGCATCTCCAAGCAAGACTTCCGAACGATCGCATTCGCCAACTACCGGCGATGTCAGTGTTTCGGATAGCGATCGATGTAATGTTCTTCCTGATCCAAGCAAACTTCGGCGCCTCGATGAAACGTCCAAGCGTATCAACGCCGTGCCTGATCTCGAGGTGGCGCCAAAGTTGGTGCCGCATACCACGTGCATCTCTACTGACCCGCTTGCTGACTTGCTCGATGCTGAGACTGGGTAGCGGAAGTAGGCGACTATGGCGAAAGGAGGCAGAGCTCGAGAAGATTTCATCTATGAACAAGGTGCCCTCTTCGAAGTACTTCCTGTATACGAGGTCTTGCAGTTCTTGTGGAAGTTCGAGAAATTTGAAGGCCATCTTAGCAAGTATGGAAAGAACAGAGACTGTGACGGAGCAGGGTGGGGTGAATAATCAGTGTCGAATCTGATCGGCTGAGTTGATGCACAACTTATCGAGGAAGTGTGGTGATCATATTGGGTGGATGCATGTGGTTAGATATGTTCTGGAAGATTGCGTGCCTGTGGTGATACGTTAATACGCAATCGCAGACATGTCACTTTCACTCTCCGATGAAACTTTGACTGATATTGACCGGACACTTCTGTATGGCCGAGCACGCCAGTCAGTAACGGCGCCTTGCTGCTCGCCAAGAACTCACAACGACGACAGGAATAAATGAACATGGGAAGCAAGGAATAGATATGAGAAGCTGAGACTGAGGGACCTGGACGTACTGCTTTGGAGAATGATAGTATTGCGCCACTCGAGCTTCAGTAGAAATCCGCCTGTAGCTATGCTGTTACAATAACGATAATCAACTTTTCCGTGCGCCATCGCTCTGAGTCCTGTCATGATCGTAGTAGATGTTGTGCTGGCTGTAGACGTGTGCTTAGCTAATACCTGATGGTACATTGAGACTAGGCCTGAACGCCTGTTGACAACGGCGTTCGTCCAGCACCGAGCGTTCCCCCATTCGAACATTGAATGTTGACGCTCGTATTTATGTCATTTAGCTTATGAAGGTATGTTCATTGCTCCTCGAGTCGGGCCACGCGCCTAGATCACCGAATCCTTCAAACCAGCTCAAAGTGGTCTGATGCTGAGTGACGGGGCTGGCAAACTAGGTCTGCAGCGTCGGGACATGGGGGCAAAGATATCTGGACCGCTGACCGTAAAGTCCTTCGTTTCATGAAAAGTCGGGTGGCGAGATGTGGTGGTGAGCTGCAGGCGTGGTCGGTTGCTGAGCTGATGCGGCCGAGCAGTGCGTATTCCTAGGTCACACCTGGAATCGGGACGCGGCCCGGGCGTTCTTCCGTAAACTTCCACCCAGACCAGGAAAGGAATGAGAATACTGTGAGCGGAGCACAAAATGATCAGACCCAGTCGGTACTGCCGCTGAGTTGCGAACCCAGATTTTCATGTTGGTGACCAGATCATTTCACATGCCAGCGTTGTGCACATACGCTGCCTCAACCCTGATCGTGTACACTGTGCCTCCTCACTCTTTGTGCCGCCTGACAACACCAATCAAAACACTGATATCATCCAGCTTCCCACCTTCTGCAGCCAGACCTTCATCAACAGCACGCGACATGTATGGACTCCCAGCATATGGATCAAGCGCGATTTCTTTCGCGGCATGCATCAGACTCCTGGCCACGTAAACGATTCCCGCTTCAGCTTCGTGTACCTTGTCGTTCCATTTCTTCATTGCTTCGATGGTGTATTCCGTGAGCTCTTCTTCCCAAAGATTGTCCGTCACACCATCAGACAGGCATAGCACAACATCTCCCTCGTTAACGTCAATGCTGTCCATGAAAGAATGTTCCTTCGGTGTATCAGGACTATTTGTACCAAGTTGTCTCGGACAATCAAACCAATGCCAATCTTCCTTGCTTCTGTAGACCATATTCTGCTCTTTCGGCCGGACGATCATGACAGCGCAGTCGCCCAGACTGGTAGCCAGCACCACAGGTTCATCCAAAGTTCTGTGATGCAGTAATGCGGAGCTCGCAGTCGTGGTGCCCATGATCTGATTCTCCTGACCTGCGTTGGTGGCTTCTTTCGTGTTGTTGAATGCGACGTCAAGGTAGGCGACAGGGTCGATCTTGTTCAGCTCCAGGTACTTCGAACCCTCTTCTGGCTTGATATCCGAGTAAGCTCTCTGAGCCTCTGCAGCCCAGTAGTGTGCTATCAGCCGACTCCATAGCGCAGCGTGTCCTCGCTCTTTCTGTGCCCATGCGCCCACTCCATCGTTCACGGCAAGGAAGTTCTGTCCGTCTATGATAATTGCATCGTCACCGTTCGTGATTCCTCTGAGCAGTTCTTCTCCGACCTTTGGATGTCGATACTTCGGGCGATTGTGAGTGGTTAGAGGATCAGAGAAGGATCCGGAAGGGTAGGAGACGAAAGGAGGAGGGAATGCTCGTGTCGGTCGTTTCGCGAAGATGGAGTAGCCGGTCTCGAGGTACCAAGGAGATCTGCGAGGAAGTTCGGAGAGAGGAGAGTCCTTTGGTTCTGTTGTTCGTCCTTCCGAAGTCAAATGTCCACGGGTTCGGGCCGAGTAAGAGCGTACGAGACGGAGTGAGGATCTGAGGTGTGATGTTACATGTTTGGAAGGGCAAGAGGAAATCATGTCTCGAAGGTTCTCATGTTGAAGACCCGTGCCCGTTTACAGACACGCTGTGATCACAAAGGAACGGAACCCAGTGCGCAGCGCAGCGTTGGAGGTTGCTGGCTGTATCGAAGAGCGGTGGTAGAGTACCGATAAGATCTAGAAGTGGTTGACTAATCCGGGAGAAAGATTAGGCTTCACATGTGCAGCAAGAAGGGCCGAGCCACCTGATATCCTTCTCTGTACTTGCAGTGTGCTTCAAACCCGATTAAATCTAACAGCATGCTCGTTCGCACAAACACACAGTTGCGCAGCGCATGTTCGCTTGCGAGAACATGTTCAAAGACGGGTGTTACGAATTGCCCTGCCCTGGGTAACGCCTGCTACGACTTATCGTCACAAGCACGACGGGTCTGCGGGCACACCTGGCGGGCAGACACCTCACCTGTGCCTTCCTCCCATGCCATGAATTGATTGAAATGGCACAATCCATCAACATCATCAGATCTGAAAGTGTCACATACTATGTTATTGCTGACACGATAGGCTGCAGTGAAGCACAGTATCTCGTCACAGACATCTGTATCTATTGACGCTGTTTGAGCCAACCTCGTTGTGATGTCCAGCAGTCCCATAGCGAATACCGTCGGAAGTATGCTACCAGAGACTAGGACGGCCCCATCGAGCATGCAGACTCCTCTGCTCAGCCTTCCTCCCGAGCTTCGTCGAACCATATGGCACCACTGCTTTGACAGCGTCATCGTTTACACACGATCACTTCGTGATGACCACGATAATTATCGGAGGCACAGTACTTACAAGAAGCCAACTTTGGAGTGGTACAATACTTCGTGCACTCAGCTGCTGCTTGTAAGCAGGCAAGTATCTGCCGAAGCTCACGAGGCAATGTTTGATATATGCGTGTTAGACATTTGGGGTGCTGTTGTGCCTCATGAGTCTCTCAGTCTGCCACTCATTGCAAAGCATATCAGACACGTTGCAGTAGCCTGTGCGATATGTCAGTCAATGGGCCATGTATAAATGAAAGTCTCTACTGACAAGCTTCCAGCCTGGGACTTTTACGACTGTATACCTGGCCTGCCATCCATGGAAATTCTATTCATGGATGGACCGTCCATCACGGCGAATAGGTTCATCTCCCTGTGGGCAATCGACGTCATCAGCGATGACT